TTCAAGACAGGGTTTCTTCTCTGTATTGTTTTAGAGGCTGTCCTGGAACTAGCTCTGTAGACCAGGCTGGCCTCGAACTCACAGAGATCCACCTGCCTCTGCCTCCCGAGTGCTGGGATTAAAGGCGTGCGCCACCAACGCCCAGCTCTAGTCATGTAAAGTTTTATAGCAGAAAGTTTTTTAAAAAATGGACGATCAAGGAGACACCTCCACCCTTGTTAGAGAATCGACCCTTACCAGTTAGCAGCAGCAGCAGAGGCCTCCTGCGCAGTTGGTGGGTAAGCAGAGTAGCACAGCCTCACTCTGCAGAAGTACACTGTGGCAGCTCCTTCCAAAATTACAGTCGGACCACATGACCCACAGAATGCATTTCTGGGTGTTAACCCAGGTGATTTGAAAATGTCTGTTCCCCCAAAAACATGTGGCAGTTCATGACCTCCACCAGTGCAAATGTACTTCATGAGAGTCAGCTTTCCATGGCTCTGACAGGAGGGAGGCTTAGTGTGTTCCATGGTTTCTGGTTTCAGTTCTAGTGGTACAACCCTGGGTGGGGCCTATGCCAGAGGATACCTGTTCACTTCATAGGTTGAGAATGGAAAATGGACGAAGAGAAAGAGCCGGGATCTGGGTTGCTCAGGAACTGTCCCCTTCAAGAACAGTGCCCACATATCTGGGCCCATGGTCCTACCACAGCCAGGGGCATGTGTCCAAGGGCCACCTGGAGCCATGCTAACATGGGTGACCTGTGCTGCCACATGGGGCCATGGTACCATGCAGGCCCAAGCGGCTGCCAGGGGCCATGTCTGAGTGCACTGTCCAGCTGCAACTGGGGTCTGTGTTGATGTCTGTGGCCTGTGCCACTTCAGGGGGACATAGGAACCATGTGTGATGAAATCAGAGGGTCCTGCTGAGCCAGCCCTGCCCTTCATTGGCCCAGGGAAAACCGGCCTTGACTCTTGCTGGACACTGCAGCAAGGGAACTGGCCCTGTCACAAGGGAGCTGGCTCCACACTTGGAAGAAATGGCCTCACCTCTCTCCGTGGGCGAGGGAGAACTGACCCAAATGGCACGGGCATAGGGGAACTGACTCCCCTCCTCCTCACACCTGAGGCTAGTAGCCCAGTGGCCCTGGGTTGGCCCACACTAACATCTACCTGATTTGAAATGGTTTGACTTTTAAAATTTTTCTTTGTGGGGAGTGCTGCAGAGGTTAGGGGAGGAAATGGGGGGAACTGGGAGGTGAGCAGAATTAAGATGCATGATGTGACATTCCCAAAGAATCAATAAGGAAATTTTATTAAAAAAAAAAAAAGAACAGTGCCCAGTGACCTCATCTTAGGGGTCCCCACATCCTAGAGTTCCCATCACTCCTGGTGAGCAGTGCCAAGCTCAGGGAGCCAAACCTTCAACAGACACACAGACACATGGCCTTTTTTGTGGGGGTGAACATTCAGATTCAAGCATTAGAGGTGGTGTGTAGTATACTTCTGTAATCCCAGAGCTTGGCAAAAGACTGGGGACCATTGCCATGGGTTGGAGGCCAGACTGGGCTATATAGCCAAACTTTGCCTCAGAAATAATTTACAAACTATAGCACCTTTCAATAAATGAATAGGAATAGCTGGGATTAGTGGCTCATGCTATTAATCCCAGCACTTGGGAAGCAGAGGCAGGTGGATCTCTGTAAATTCAAGACCAGCCTGGTCCACAACTAGAGTATCAGGACAGCCCAGGACTGTTACACAGAGAAGCCTTGTCTAAAATAAACAAACAAACAAACAAATAAATAAATAAATAAATAAATAAATAAATAAATAACAAAACAAAAAGAAGAAGAAAGTTCCAGGATAGCCAGAGGTACATAGAGACCTCTGTGGCTAGATGTATTAACTGTGTTATATCCGTACAATAGAATATGGAATATTGTTCAGCAACAAATAGAAATCATATATCTAGCATAAAATGATATAGATAAGCTGGGCAGTGGTGGCACATGCCTTTAGTCCCAGCAATCGGGAGGCAGAGGCAGGCGGATCTCTGCAAATTTGAGACCAGCCTGGTCTACAAGAGCTAGTTCCAGGACAGTTTCCAAAGCCACAGAGAAACGCTGTCTCAACCCCCCCCCCAAAAAAAAAGATACAGATAAATCTTTCTAATGCTAATTATAATTTTATATTTACTGGTTTTGGCCTACATGTATGTCTATGCACCACAAGCATGCCTAATGCCCTCTGAGGCCAAAAGAGGGTATGAAACTGAAGTTGCAGACCCCTGTGAGCCTCCATGTGAGTGCTGGGAATTGAACCTGGATCCTCTAGAGGAGCAGGAGCAGCCAGTGGAGGCTTTTAGCTGCTGAGCCATTTCTCCAGCCCATACAATGGCACAGATACATCTTAAGTGCCTGGTGCTAAGTGAAAGAAATGCCTGAAAGAGCTACAGCATGGATGAATCTGATTGCACAGTGTGCTAGCTGTCAGGGGATCGATGAAGGGTCTGGAGGTGGGGCAGGGTTAGCAAGTCTAGGCAGTGTTTTTTAGGAGAATGAAACCATTTCATATGATTCTATCAGGGCAACTAGAAGACATTGAATATTTGTCAATGAGCAGACTTTAGTGTGCATAAATTTTAAAAGTTCATCTAGTGGGGTGGGGGTGGTGCAAGTCTTTAATCTCACCATTCAGGAGGCAGAGGTAAGTGAATATCTGAGTTCAAGGCCATGCTGGCCTACACAAGTGAGTTCCAGAACAGCCAGGCCTACACAGAGAAGCCCTGTCAAAACAGCCCCCACCACAAAAAAAAAATCATCTGGGAAGTCAACGGAGCACAGGAAGAAAGCAGAAAATCTAGTTGTTTCACAGGTATAGAAAGAGAGCCACCTTAGGAGGCTCCATTGCTGACCTGGAGCTGAGTTGAATCTGGAAGGCCAAAGGCCACAGAACACCTGAGCCCTGGGAGTCAGGCAGTGAGCATGTTTCCAGCAAAGCATAAATTAGCAAGCAAGTGGGAAACCCAGGCTCACATGCAGGCCCCCACATCATAGGCCTACCTTTGGCTCCCTTCCTGGCCCTGACCCACTCCAGCTGGGATCTTTAGTACATCTGTACCTGAGGCCTTTTTGTGGTAGTGGTGGGGTGCACATGACCTCTGGGGATCCATGGGCATTTTCAGTGTCAGCAGATACACTGTGACTAAGACAGTCTCTGGTGGCCTTCGCCACCACCCACAGAGGCTTGGGCGGGGCTTGGAGGACAGTGGGCAGCAGACCCTGCTTTCTTTCCCCTCAATTGTGGTGGTTACCACCTCCAGCTCCTGCAGAGACATCTTCTCATGGGGGATGCCATCTGTGTCAGCTTCTGAAAAAGCCAAAAAGCCATGGGACTGGGGCTGCAGGCTTGGCAGTAGGGATCACTTAATTGAGGATTAAGGATTACTTGGGATCCGCAAAATGGGTGGTGCTGAAGCTGCTGAAGCCAACCCTGGCACCTCAGAGTCCTGATTCAGCTGCTGCTCAGGGCACTAGGGCCGCCTGCATACTCCACCTGAGACCGCCTTGTGAGGACCAGTGTGGCCCCAGCTCCTAGACATTTTATTTCTTGTGTGTGAGTCAGAGGTTGGCTGCCGATGTCTTTCCAACTACTCCCCTCCTCATTGTTATCATCATTGGAGACTCTCTATGTAGTCTTGCCCTAGAACTTGCTCTGTAGACCAGGCTGACCTCGAACTCACAGAGATCCTCCTGCCTCTGCCTCCCAAGTGCTGGTTATGGGTGCGTCACTGCCTCCTACCTTTGCCTGAATCTTGATCTTGGGCTTCTAGACCTGAGAGTGTTAAATTAAAATGCCTCTACAAGCAGAGTGGTGGCACACGCCTTTAATCCCAGCACTCAGGAGGCAGAGGCAGGCGGATCTCTGTGAGTCCAAGGCCAGCCTGGTCTACAAGAGCTAGTTCCAGGACAGCGGTGGCTACACAGAGAAACCCTGTCTCAGAAAAACAAACAAAAAACACACATACACAAAAATAAAAAACAACCAACTAAACAACAACAACAAAAATACCCCAAAACCAAAAACAGGAATGGCTGGAAACCCACAGCTTCCCAGAATCCAAGGGCTAGAAGAGGGGCTGTGAAGGCTCTGTGTGGAGATTGTCTCTAGTAGAGTGGAGATTTAGGTTAGAGGTAGTAGTAAAGAAAAGGACAAGCAGCTAGTTAAGGCAGGAAGGCCCTGATTCCTGCTAGGCAGGCACTACGCTCTATGCTGACCCAAAAGGCCCCAACACAGACTGTCTTAGTCGGGCCTTGAATTTAGCAGGGCTGGCCAGTCGCATGCCCTTCCCACTGTGCTCAGGAAGTTCTGGGGGCTCCCGGAGGGAAAGAAGTCCCAGCTATTAGACAGAGGTGCCTCCTGGGGGACCCTTCTGCCAGCTCCCACCCTCCTGGAAGGTGAAGGCTGCGCTCTGAGCAGTGCCCCTCCCGTGGCAGTAATACATGTATGACAGAGTGGGAAAAAGGCTCTGTCCTGGGAACTTCAAGCTCAGAACTCAGAAGCACTGATGTGTGCGTGCATGTGTGTGTGCATGCATGCATGCGTGCGTGCGTGCGTGCGTGCGTGTGCGTGCATGTGTGTGTGTGTGTGTGTGTGTGTTTACCAGCCCAAAGATGTCTGTTTTGTTTTTGTGACAAGGTCTCCCTAGGTAGTCCTTGCTGGCCTGGAACTCACTTTGTAGACCAGGATGGCCTCGAACTCACAGAGATCCATCTGCCTCTGTCTCCTGAGTGCTAGGATTAAAGGCGTGTGCCACCATGCCTAGTTCAGAGATATCTTTTGGCACTTGCTTTGTGCTGGGCCCAGGATCCTGAGAAGAAGAAGAGGGGATCTCCATACCCGCTGGAGCTCACGATTGAGGTGACTTGTGGTTAGAAAGTCAAGTTCCAGGGGCCGAATTTTGGAGTCACATGATGAGCCAATAGGGGATGAGCCAGTAGGGAAAAACTCTTTCTCCACAAGCTGGAATATGCTTTATTGTCAGAGAGCTAGGGAGAGGTAAGGGGTGACGACAGGAGAGGGCACTGTGTCCAGGCAGGGATGGGGAGGAGTCACACAGTCCTGTACATAATGAGTTTCAAGGAACACATTGGATCCTCTGCGGTTCAGAGGCTGTGGTCCTCTGTGCTGGTCCACTCCAGCTTCTTTCTATAGAGGCTCATCGAGACATCATCCGAACAAATTCTGCCAGGACAAAGTCAAGGTTTTAGGTCTGCCCTCCTGACCCCATTAGGGATGGCAGATCTACCTGCCTGAGGGTGGGCTAGAGTGTGCTTGAGGAGACCTTCAAAGATTTTTGTGAATCAGGCCTCAGCTGCCCAGACTACCATCTTGGCTCTCCCTACTTCATTTCCTAAGTAAGCACTTCAGTTTTCCTGTCACAAATTTCTTCTCTCACCAGTAGGGAGTATAACAGCCTTCCCTCCTTGATCCTCCATAATGTTTAACCAGGGTCTGTTTAGAATAGCAGTTCTCAACCTTCCTAATGTAGTGACCCTTTAATACAGTTCCTCACGTTGTGGTGACCCTCAACCACAGAATTATTTTTGTTGTTACTTCATAACTGTAATTTTGCTACTGCTATAAATACTAATGTAAATATCTGATATGCAACCCCAAAGGGGTCACCACCCACAGGTTGAGAACTACTGCTTTAGAATCTTCCAGGGAACATGCTCCTAAGCAGGGGAGGCATTACCTTCAAAGTCAACCAAACCATCTCCATTGAGATCGATGTCTTGGAGTATCTCATCTACCTCCCTCTGGCTGAGGCGTTCCCCCAGCAGAGCCTTGAGGGCTGCCCGGAGCTCCCCAACGCTAATACAACCATCTCCGTTGGTATCAAACTGTGACAGCATTGACGGTGGCATGGAGTCACTGGCTGAGCCCTGTATCCACCCAGCTCTCACTCCCTGTAGCCCCCCAGTCTCACCCGCCCTCCACTCCTTCCACCCCAGGAGCACCTCCCGGAAGGCGTCTCGAAGCTCCCTCACGCCAATCATGTCTGCAGTCTCTGCCAGCAGCTTGGGGCCCATCAGCTCCACAAAATCTTCAAAATCCACCTTCCCACCACCTGAAGGTACATCCATCCATTAAAGACCCTGGCCTGGCACCTGACCTGCCTTCCCCAGACCACTGCCTTCCCTCTGGCCCCTGGCCCCTCCTTCAGGGCATTAGATGGGCTCTCCTCCCTGGATACCAATGGCTGCATCATCTGCAGCCATTGGTGGAAGTTGTCCTCAGCCAGGCTCTTAAGACTCACTGTTCTTTCCTGAGCCCCTGATGTGTGACCCGAGACACACCTCTCTGAGCTTCAGTCTCTTTATTGGGGAATGGGGGTCATGCCATCCTCCCCACTCTCCTAGTAGATTCTTAGGAGGCAGCTCTCCATTTAAAGACAGTTTTGCCCTGGGATCTTGGAACAGCCCATGCAGCTACCACATGTCTGGCCCAGGGTTGGAGTATGGGAGTGGGGTGGGTCTGAAGCACATACTGATTTGCTGTGATATCTCAATGAGCTCCATCTCCGTGGGCATATAGCCCAGCGTCCGCATGCAGGCACCCAGCTCCCGGTACCCGATGTAGCCATCCCGGTCTCGGTCAAACTCCTGGAAGGCGACCTGCAGCTCTGCCGGGCAGAGTGAGGTTAGTCTTTTCCCAAAACCCTCCCTGGCTGCCAGGCAGGGCCAGCCCCTCTACTCCCTGAGCTTCAGTCCCTTCTTGGTTTTAAGTCTCAGTTTCTATTTGTTGTCTTAGGGTCTTTGCTCTTAAAATTTTGTTCTCTCATGAAAACAAAAGAAGCATCTACTAGGGGGCTGGAGAGATGGCTCAGAGGTTAAGAGCACTGGCTGCTCATCCAGAGGTCCTGAGTTCAATTCCCAGCAACCACATGGTGTCTCACAGCCATCTATAATGAGATCTGATTCCCTCCTCTGGCCTGCAGGAATACATGCAGACAGAGCAGTGATACCTAAAATGATACATAAATAAATAAAAAGTTAAAAAAAGAAGCATCTACTATGTGTCCATTAAAAAGAGAAGGAAGAGGGGGAGGGGAGGAAAGACAGGAAGAGCTATGACCTCAAGAAGGCTACATTCTCCCCGCCTCTAGTTCAGCGGCACCTACTCCAGGAAGACTTCCTTGCTCATTTCTTCCTCTCCAGCCCATGCACTGGTTTTCCTTGAGTGCTTTATACAACTGTAGCTATCTCCAGAAGGTAGGGACCTTATCTACCTGATTAGCAGTGTTTCCTGGCTCTCAGTGAGGGGCCAGGCCCACAGTGGGCAGCCAGGAAGTGTCAGCCAGATGGACAAATATGAAAGAGGCCCTTGACCAGTGTGGTCACTGAGACCAAGGTGTTGGCAGCAGAAGAAGAGAGGGTTTGCCACCCCTCCCTGTCCAGTCTCACTCTTACCCCTCCTGAACCCCACAGAGGCCCCAGTCCCAAACCTCCTCTTCTAATCTCCATCCATGCCCCCACCTCAACTAGCCCCTCCTTGAACCCTTTACCTTCAATCTCCTCTGGTCTCAGCTCCCGGTCCTGCAGGACACAGATGGCTTAGGAATTCCTTGGCCCACGGCTTCAGCACCTTCCTTCTGTTTGCTGGGGTTTGTCATCCAGCCCACACCACAGCATACCCAGGGTCTGTGCCTTATTCTGTCAGACACCTGCCTGGGTGTCTTGGGGTTCCCTTTCCATACAACCTGCCAGGAGACCCCCAGAACCTCTCTTCCCACACTGTCTTCTGAGGTACATAGCTCCTTTTGACAGAGATAGATGCCAGGGTCAGACAGACCCTCATACTCAACCCAGTTGGCCTCAACGTCACTGCAAGTCTGTCTCGTCCCCTGGCCCTCTCCTGAGGACCTTGCCATCTCTAGCCATTTTCCCCTTGGAAGTACTTCCTTTTCTATTTTTGCAGTGCTGAGGGTGTAACCCTGGGCTTGCTCTAAGCAAGAGCTCTGCCACTGGGCTGCACCCCCAACCCTTGGGTGGCTGTTGCTCTGGATGCCTACCCACGCCCATGCCTGGGTATGGCTCTGAGGGCTCCCTGAACTCTTCACTTTTTCTGGAGTTATTACTCCGCGGCCCACCCCGGGGTTTTATGTCTATCTTCTGACATCCTCTCCAGCTTCTCCATCCTATATGGGGAGCAATGAGACGAAGGGAGCAGGGCAGCGGGCTGGCAGAGGAGTGACTGTACATACGAGCTGGGTGGCGGCGATGCTGGGTCGAAGGAAGATGCAGGCTGGCCCCACCAGGCTGCCAAGCACCGAGTAGCCCTGTGTGGCCTCCTGCTCCTCAGCTCTGGGGCCAGGGCTGGGGCTGGAGCTCCCTAGGGGGGCTCTAGGCCACTGCCAGCGTTCCTGTGGCAAAGTCAGCCATGAGCTGGAGCAATGCCCCCTCTCCCCCAACCCGTTGTCTTTAGTGGCCCCTTTCTCTGGGACACAGCATCCGACAGAGAAGGCGGAGCCTTGGAGTACACAGACCCATTAACACTCTAGGCTGGAAAGGCTCACCCCTTACAGGTAAGGACCTCTGCCAGGTCATTGAGGAAACCTGGCCAAGGTTGAGAGAGTAGGGCCTGCAAAGAATGAACAACTGGCCTATCAGCTTTGCAGGAGAGACCCAGCCAAGGCTTGGGGCGGGCATGGGGGGGTGCCCGGGAAAATAACTCCTTTAAGGAAAGCATACAGAATGCCCCCTCCATCTCCCCTGGAGACCACAACCCATCTCTAACCCAGCCCAGTACCCCCAAGTCTCTGGCTACTACTATCTGCCCAACACATGGGGCCACCCAGATTTCTGGCCTTTGTCTTCCTACCTTAGGCCCCCGGCTCCAGGGCCTCTTGGCACAGTTCCCCATGGGTCCCTGAACCATGCCAGGCCCTGAGTCCAGGGAAGATGCTGTGGATTCTGCCAGCCCCCTGCTTTTCCACGGACAGCCTGGGAGCGCTGGAGAGGATTTTCCTGGGGTTTTGTGGGCAAGATCAGGGGCGGGTGGGCAGGCGGGGGGACCTGGGCCCGGGGCTTGGGCCCTAATCCAATCCGGGATTATCTCTGAGTATCTCTGCGGGTGGGGGGGTGGTACGCAGAGTCAAGCCCCCGCTGGAAGCCACAGCCTCCTGTAACTTCCTCGGGAGGGTCTTCTGAATACCCACCCCCTCTATCCCTTCTCCTCTCAGTCTCGCTCTAATCGCCCCAGTCGGCACCTTCAGAAGTACGCTTGGATCCCCACGGAAGAAGCTGGCACCCCGTGCCTGGGCCAGCTGGATCCCAACTCTCCCAGAGCGGCAAGTGGGGCCCGAAGGATGAAGTCCTCAGAGAAAGTGGCTACCTTCTTTTACCTTGGGTCAGTGTGAAGTCTCTGCGCCAGGACCTTGTGTCTGTTCAGTGCTCATTCAGCCTAGACTTGGACCAGTGCTCAACACCTTGCATAAAGGGTCAGCGCTGGGCACTGATCCCTCAGTATCAACAGAGATGGCTCCCCTAACCTCTCCTGACCCGTCTGGTCATCTCCGTGTGGACTTGGCCCTGGGTCTGTCTTTCGTCCAGCTGGGATGTGGGGCTCCTTAGTAAAGGACAGTCCCTGCCCCTTACCTGTCCATAGGCAGCCTGCACCTGGGCCTCCAGCTCACGGAGGAGGGCCCGCCTGCGGGCAATAGGGCTGGCGAGGTCCTGGCTGGGTCCTGGAGTGTCTGTGGATGGGCTGGAGTCCCCTTCAGGAAGGCTTCCATCTGCCGGGCCCTCAGGCAGGGCCATGGACATGGGCGTGGTGCCTTTTCTGTTCCTGCTGGGGCTCCCTGGCCTGTAGGTAGGTGGCTTAGTGGAAGCTGTGGGTATGGTTCCCCTCTGGTTCTGGGGCTTAGCGAGCCCCACTCCCCTAAGTCTCTATCTTCTTCCACTGCCCCTCCCATAGCACACCTTTGAAATCGCCAGCTTCTTCCTAACCACTTCCCAGTGTTTACAGGCTGCACCCTGGGGCTCCTTGCTGACCCGGGTGGCCAGGTTCCCAAGCTGGCTGGCCTCTTTCTGTTCCCATGTCCTGCCTGCACATCCCTGGCTGGTGGTGTGAGCATTCTCCAGACCTGCTCACTCTCCATCTGCTGTGGCCTTTGCTTCTTCCAACCTCTGTCTTGGTCAGCAGCATCCCCACGTCCCTCAGGCCCTCACGGTCTCTCTCTGTGCCCTTACCTTTCTCTGCTCCCTTCAGTGCCTGTCTGCTCCCCTCAGCCCCTTTCATTGTTTCTCGGAGGCTCTTTCTCACCTTGCTCTGTCTGCCTTTCCTACTCTTCTACCATTCCCTTCCCAGAATGGCTCCAAGAGGCTGGGAAAGCATACCACCTGCTTCACCCTCCCCCGCCCAGAGCTGTGTTCCAACTTCTGCCTCCCACCTCCTGTGTGGACCTCTCTACTGACCTGCAAGTTCTTCTCAAGGAACAAGGGTGGAGGTGCCACAAAGCCCCCTTCCCCCTCGACACACCCCAGCCACTTACCACACAACTGCTTACTCCTCACTTCCAGAATGAGGTCAGCTGTGGCCTGCTGGCCTGCTGTGGGCCCCTCATGATTTATTCACCTGCCCTCTGTACCAGCCTTTGTCCCAGGGAACCAGATCCCACGCCATGTCTGCCATCTGAGCTGGTGACTCTATCATCCATTTAATGACTCACTTTCAAACATGGGAGGGGGGCTCTAGTTCACTTGATAGAGTTCTTGTATAATATGTAGAAAGACCTTGGCCTCAATTCCTGGTACCAAATAAACCAGGCATAGTGGCATGCACCTGAAAAATACCCAGGAGCTAGAAGAATCAAAAGTTCAAGGTCAACCTTGGCTACATAGCGAGTTCTAGACAAACTGGCTTGCATGAAACCCCTGGGTGGTATCTAGTGCCAGGCCAGCAACTGGAACCACATAACAGACCCCGCCTGCTCTAAGGACTCCAGCCTCAGGGAACTCTAATTCAGACAAGGGCCACCCAGCAGTCTGTGTGTGGAAACACCCACCCAGGCAGATAAGAGGAGGGCTTTGCCCTCCACTGATGTCAGCCTAGCCCTGGTTGATGCCGACAGCCATCAACAGTGACCTGGTGGTGTCTGGGTGCTGGAACCCTCAGATAGTGTTGGGAAGAGTCCTCAGAAGGCAAGGAAGGGCATCAGTGACCTCTGTGGAAGGTAAGTACAGCAAGAGATGGGGGCATCAGAGGGTGGTGTTGCTTGAGGGTCAGCTCTGAACCCCTGATCCTGGGAGCAGGCAACCAGCCTCACTTCTGGGCCTGTTGACTGAGTATGAGCAGCACCTTCTGCAATGTAGGACTACAGTCCCAAAGGCTGTCAGAGGGAGGTCTTGCTGTGCTTGGAGACCAGATAAGGTAGCTGGGAGTAGGTGGCCTCCAGGAAGAGGGGACAGTCTGGATGCATCCTAGAGAAGATCTGAGGTCTGAGACAGGCCAAGCCTGAGAGGCTGTGGACTCTGGCCGGGAGGTCAAGATCGGGACCGGTTCCTTGTTACTGTTCACTGTGAGTCAGCATGTGGCTTTCCTCAGCCCCTCTGCACTCTGCCGGGGACATCCTTAAAAACATTCCCCTATACTCTGCAAGGTCTTAGAGGGGCCTACAGGGCTGGGTCCCCCGGGGAGAGTTCTCTACCTTTAGACCCTCTTTCCCTTTCTTTTCAGCACGGGGGATTGAACCCAGGGCCTCATACATGCTAGGCAAATAGTCCACCAGTGCAGTCGTCTCTGTTCTCTCCCCTTTTCTTTTCTTTCTCCTTCCCTCTGTCAAGCAGCTGGGATTGTAGGCATGCAGCACTCAGTGAGTTCAGTGATTTATCTGAAAAGAAATGGAGGCTAACCTTGTGTTTGCCTTTAGGAAGGAAGGAAGTGATGTGTGTCTCAAAGCACAGTCCAAGGCAGTTGGGGCGATAATTGGTCAAAAAGTTAGTGGGCAAAAGTTTTCCATGGGGACAAAGGCTTTGTCTTCTGGCTGGAAGCCCCTCCCGGCTTGCATTCAGGGAGCAGTGTCCTAGATAGCTCATCTTGGTGACCTCAATTTGCTCAGAGTGTCCAGGGTTGTGAATCAGTAGATCAGGACACACTGGGCAGAGACCCTCAGGAGTCGCAAGAATGGTCAGTGGCCTCTACAGAGCGGATGGATGGCAAGAGGGTGGGGTTGGCAGCGCGTCGGCTCCAAGTGCTCTGAGTCCGGCTGCAGGAAATTAGCCTGACTTCTGGAATCTTCGGCACAGGGTGGATGGATGGGCATAGATAGAGGAGAGGAAAGATGGGTGGTTGACTGGATATATAGCCAGGTATACTGGCGTTTGAGTAGTTAGTAATTGGAAGGAAAGATGGTCGATAGGTGGACAGAGGGAGGGATGGATGGATGGACAAACGGATAGTGGATAGACAGTTGAATCAATGGAGGGAAATAGGACAACTGGATGTACAGATGGATAGATGGGTGATATTTGATGCTGGTAAGTGGATAGACGGGAACTGCATAGGCAGATGTTGAAAACATGGGTGGATGTGCTGGTGGAGGCTGACTGTGGGTAAATGAGGATGTGGGCATTCTGGAGGATGAGGGCTGAAGGTTTGTGAATGGATAAATGACTGTATATATGGAAGCAGGTAGATAGCAGGTGCAGGATCTTATACCCCTTTTCCTTGCTTTTTTGTTTTGTTTTGTTTTAGACATCGCCTTACGTTGTAGCCTCAACTGGCCTGGTACTCACTATGTAGCCCAGGTTAGCCTCAAACGATGGCAACCTCCTGCTTTAGCCTCCTCGGTGCTGAGCTTACAGGTGTTAACCATGGTGCCTCAGTTATAATCTGCTTATCTTCATGTGTATATGTGTGTACATGGGCACTCAAGAGGGTGTGTGACATGTATGTGGATGTCAGAGGACAAGGTGTCGTCTATACCATCCACCTTGCTTTCTGGAGACAGGATATCTCACTGGCCTGGAACTCACCAAGAAGGGTAAACCTGCTGGCCAGCATACTCTGGGCACCTGCTGTCTCTCCCATGTGCTGGGATCACAACTTCATGCCACCATACCCAGAGTCTTTTGCTTGGGTCCTGGAGGTAAAATTGTGGCCCTCACTCATGCTTGCACACAAGCACTTTACCAATTTTTCCGTCTCTCTAGCCCTTGGGCTTTGTTGTTTATAAATCATGGTTTAGGGTGGAAACCATAGCCCAATGGTTTTCCCCAGTCACTGACACTAATCAACACATGACTGAAGATGTGACTGTCATCCTCCTGGCTTCAACTACAACACCTCTGGTGACAAAGATAACACCCTCTCTACTGTGTCCCCCACAAGCTGAGCCCAGAACTTGGCAATGTCAAGCGGTCAGTGAAGCTGGAATGCCCTAGCTTGATGGTGCACTACTCAATGGTGTGAGCACTGCCTGAGGAGTCAGTGTCCCTTAGAAAAAGTGGCCAGATGACCCCAAAAGCCAGCTCATAGGTACATACTCAAGAGAATGAGTGCTAGGTGGTGGTGGTACATACCTTTAATCTAGCACTCAGGAGGCTGAGGCAGGTGGATCTCGGTGACTTTAAGGCCAGCCTGATCTATAGAGTTCCAGGACAGTCAGAGCTACACAGAGAAACCCTGTCTTGAAAGACAAAAAAGAAAAGCAAGTATAAGGGAAAAGAAAGAAAGAAAAGACAAAGATAAATACTGAGTTTTTTCACAGGGCTCATCAGAAAAGCAAACCCTTCAAAAACGAAGCTGTTCAGTGGTGGCACACATCTTTAATTCCAGCACTCGGGAGGTAGAGGCAGGTGGATCTCTGTGAGTTTGAGGAAAGCCTGGTTTACAGAGCAAGTTCCAGGACAGTCAGGGCTACTCAGAGAAAGTCTGTCTTGAAAAAAAAAGACACATGTATTTTTTACCAGTGTATGGGGATGACTTTTTTTTTTTTTTTTGGTTTTTGAAGCTGACTCTCATGAAACCCAGGCTGCCCCTGAATTCTCTATGTAGTGGAGGATGACCTTGAACTTGTGAACCTTCCACCTCCACCTCTAGAATGCTAGGATTACAGGTAGGAGCCATCATACCTGGTTTATATGGTGCTGGGGACTGAGTTCAGGCCAGCTTTGTGCATGTCAGTCCACCAACGCACCTATATCTCCAGCCTCATAAAATGGAGTATTTCTCAGTCATAAATAGTTGAAAGTATTGACACATACCCAAATGTGGATGAATTTTGGGAAAAGCTGTGGTAAGTGAAAGGAGTCAGAAAGACAGAGATAAATCCTGTCTGAGTCTTTTCACAGGGCTCATCAGAAAAGCGAACCCTCAGTACCCTGGTGATGCAGAGTCACTGCTAACAGGCATAGGGTTTCTTTGGGGGCTTAATGACAAGGTTCTGGACTTGGACAGTGCTGACAATTGCTCAATGGTGAATATATTAAAACCCACAGACCATCCATCATATAAGAATAAATTTTACATAAATCAATGCTGTATATGCCTTTAAATAGACCTAGAAACAGGTATGCATTGAGACACAGTCTGGAGGTTGGGGATGGACAGGGAGTTGGTTAGCTGATTAAACTGTCAAGGATATACTTCTGGAGCCCACAGGAGAAGGCCCTAGGGTGATCCTTCCCTCCCTCCCTCCATCCTCCTCCCTCCCTGCCTCCTTCCTTTCCTCCTTAACTTCTTCCCAGGGTTGCATGGGAGATGAAATGAGATCATTTCTATGAAAGCTCTTAGTAAGCTGCTCCATGCTGGGCAGATGTTCCTCCAGCTGTGAGCCAGGGATGAGAGCCCAGCTCTGGCACCACCTCCTCCACTTGCTCCCAGCTTCACAAAGCTGAGGGCTCAAGGGAGGGGAGTGATTCCCAAGCATGAGCCTTGGCTGCTGGGGTTCTCCTGACTGGGATAATTTTGGTCCCTTCAAGTCCTAGGTGGATTGTTCTGCACCTGCACTTTCCCAGCAGCTCTGACCCACTGAGAGCCTCCATCAAGGGACCCTGAGGGGAACTGGCTAGAGTCTTGGGCATGCCAGCAGGCCCGAACTCTCCTATGTGCTCTTTTCTGTTCATCTCAGTCCTCAAATCTGGCCTGTGTGGGAAGGGCATAGGACACACATGTTCAGGGACTGCCTTGGGGACTCCACACTGGAGACACAGAATGTTTTCCCTCAGCCTTGCTGAGTTTTGTGGGAAAACAAGCCAGGGCTACATAGTTAGACCCTCAAAATAAATAGATGAAAACACATCTCAAAAACTACAAAAAGCAATAAATCAGAGGGCAGTGGTGGCACACACCTTTAATCCCAGCACTCAGGAGGCAGAGGCAGGCAGATCTCTGTAAATTTGAGACCAACCTGGTCTACAGAGTGAGTTCCAGGACAGCCTCCAAAGCTACATAGAGAAATCCTGCGTTAGAAAAACAAACCAACAAACAAAAAAAACATTAAGTCATGGGAGAAACATGGCAGAAAAGGCTTGCAGTTCCACTGACCAGCATCTCCCACAGGCAGAAACTCAAGTGCAGAGAAGGGCGAGAAGTAAAAAAGCCGCTGTCAGCATCCAGAGGGGAACCAGTAAAAGAAACACAAGGCAGGAAATGAATGAAGTTGAGTTTGTCTGCAAATTCCTCTGGGCTGCTGAGGTTTGAGCTCAAACAGTCAGCTTCCCAGGCTTGGGAGATGCTCAGTCTGTCAGCTGCTTGCCTTGCAAACACAAGAACTTGACTTGAACCCCTAGGGCCCACATTAAAACAAACACACAACAACAAAAGGCAGAACATATAATGGAGAAAGGATGGTCTTTGGGGCTTACTGGTCAACCCACCTACCCTGCTGCAGCCCAGTGAGAGACCTGTTCTCCTGCTCAGAAGAGGTAATGGTAGAAACGACACTCAAGGTTGTCATCTGAACTACATACACACTCATACACCACACGTACACACATACCACAAACCATACACACATCACACATACCACATACACATACATACACAGCACACACATATACACACTGTTGGGGTACCCCGAATTGAGGAGGGGTCCCCAAGCTGGATTCGTCACCCCAAGAATCAAGAGTCAGAGGGGCGTGGCAAAGGCCGTGTTGGGGCGGGACTACAGTTGTGGTTGGTGCGACCAGAACCGCCCTCCCAGGCTCCTTAGGCAGCTGCACTGTGTTACTCTTCCTTTCCTGGGCCGTTGTGGAGCTGCGTCCCTGCTCCCCACGGTATTGGCAGGGCGTGGCCTCTACTGTATGTCTCCCCTCGCAGCGCGTTAGTTCGGGGCTCTTGCCAGCTTTCCATTCTTCCAAACTCTCCCAGGTTTCTTCGTTGTTCCCAATCCCTGTCCCGTACCCTGTACAGGGCGCTGCGAGGTTATGCGCATGCTGCTAGCTGACCAGGGCCAGAGCTGGAAGGAGGAGGCGGTGACCTTGGATGCCTGGGGGCAGGGTACACTCAAGGCTTCCTGTGTGAGTGACTACACTAAAGTGGAGATGGCCCTGGGGCGCAGCCTTAGGGTGCAGTGACTAGGGTTGGGGGCAGCCAATTGAGCACCCCTTACAGAGCTGTCTTCTCCCAGCTGTTTGGGCAACTCCCCAAGTTCCAGGATGGAGACCTCATCCTGTACCAATCGAATGCCATCCTGCGGCACCTGGGCCGCTCCTTCGGTGAGTCCTGAAATGCAGCTCTGAAAGACACCTGGCAGATGTCCTGCAGCAACCAATTCTCACCTGGATTGAGGGCAAGCAGGTTATTTTAGAGGAAGGCTGCAGGCCAAGGTTCCAGAAGGCTCCCAGATGTGGTGCTGGGCTGTCTGTGCACAGTGGGGGCTGAGTTTCCACTAAACTTGTATCATTTTTCCTAGATGACATCTCATAAGAAGCTACCAGGTTCCATGTGTGACAATGTCGTGGGGCTAGAGACTTCCCTTACTGCCCATTTCTTTCTAACCTGGCCATACCCCAGTCAGGGAAACCCATAGTCACAGAGACGAGGCCTCAGCCTGTTGGAATAATAGCAGGAAGGTGGCGGAGGCAACTATTCTCTGTGGGCCTGGTTAGGAAAGGGGTGCCTGGAGTTCCATAAGGACATAGTGACCCGGGATAGACGGGTAGTAGGAGCAGCTCAGGCCAACTCCACTTCTGCAGGACCTAGAGAGCAGACCAAGGCCTTGGGGTGGGCCTGCCGCCTTCTCATCGGCCTGTGCCTCTCACGGTGTATGGATAGCAGCCTTCGCACCACAGTCTAGGTCCCCAGACGGCTTGTTCTAGGGGAGGGACAAACCAGGGCTTTTGACTTCCCTTGGTGAGACAGATCCAGTGACAGGTGTGGCCCAGGAAACAGGCTTGCGCTTCAGTTAGTTGTGGCCCTGGGGGCTGGTAGACTCTTCCCTTGTAAGAGTGGTGTGGCTGAGGTAGGCAGGACAGGGAAGATCTCCAAAGCAAAGTAGGGCCCATGCTGAGGTCTGAGTAAGTATTTCAGGGCTAGCACAGAACCTGAGTCTGCTACCTGCTTCCTGACCCAGGGCTCTATGGCAAAGACCAGCAGGAGGCTGCACTTGTGGACATGGTGAACGATGGACTGGAAGACTTCATCAGGCACCTGGGCCAGCAGTTGTTCCGAAACTATGTATGGAGGGACTGCAGGCTTGTGCAAGGCAGGGTGGTCAGGAAAGGGAGCTCACTTTTGTCAGTCTGGCTGCACATGCCCAGCTGGGGTCACGTCTGTCCACAGGAGGAGGGCAAGGCCCAGTATCTGAAGGAACTTCCAGGACACCTGAAGCCATTTGAGACTCTGCTGGCCCAGAACAAGAGTGGCCAGTCCTTCATTGTGGGTGGCCAGGTGAGCACTGGGTCAGGCCTTCTTTTCTCAGAACTGAGGCCCAGTTCCCTGATCCAGTGTTTGGCTCCGTGGAGTTTCTCTCCCTCCCATAGATCTCCTTTGCGGACTACCGACTGCTAGACCTGCTTCTGAACCAGGAGCGTCTGTTCCCTGGTTACTTGAATGACTTCCCCTTGCTCTCAGCCTATGTGGCACGCCTCAGAGCCCGACCCAAGCTCAAAGCCTTCCTGGACTCCCCTGAGCACGTGAACCGCCCCATTTCTTCTCGCCTAAAGATATGAGTCCACCTGCTACCCCAACCCCTCCACGTGGACCAATAAAAACAAGGGCAGGAGCCGGGCGGTGGTGGCACACAACATCCTTTAATCCCAGCACTCAGGATACAGAGGCAGATAGATCTCTGAGTACGATGTTCTACAGAGTGAGTAATAGGACATTCAGGGCTACACAGAGAAATCCTGGCTTGAAAAACTTAAAAAAAAAAAAAAGGAAGGAAGGGATAGAGGAAGGGAGGAAGACAATAGCAGGAAGCTGTTTTGTGGTCTTTAGGGGTAGGGGATGAGGGCACTGGGGACCCTCTGCAGGGTTGATACCTAGTCCACCCTTGCAACAATATCAGGCCCAGAGCTGCCAGGGAAGAAGGCCTTTAGGGCTCTAAACCCCCAGATACCACTGGAGGGTTCCCTATTGGGGGTATCTGACCTTCAATTCAGCCCCAGAGTCCCTTCATCCAAGAAAAAGATAATAATAGCCCTAAGAGTATCAGCTAGTTGCTGTCCCATTTGGTGAACTGGTTCTGGGCAGACACCCTCAGGAGTGACACACATATCTGGTTGTGTCACATGTGCTCTCTGGGGACAGTTGGATGCTTCTGTCCCATGTACAGGCAATGAGCAGGTCTCCAATGCAAAGGTCCCAAGGTAAGGGCTCCCAGCTGGTTTGAAAGTAGGACCATTTGGAGACAGGTGGCTGGATCTGTGCTCTAGTTGGGGAGGTGAAACAAACGTTCGCACACAAGTGAAAAGCACTGGCCAGCTGCTGCTTGGGATGGAGCAGAAAGGGTAGATCCAAGAGGACTGACCTCATTCTACCAAAAGGTTTGCCCTTTTGTAGCCCTTCCACCATTGAGAGGGCGGGGAAATGAGAGGGTGCAGGGCTCAGCCTAAGGATCAAGTCTCCAACTTGAGATCAGGGAATATGTCTAACCGAGGGGTCAGGACTCACCATTAAGAGCAGCTCTTAGGACTGGAATCAGGATCCAGCTCAGGGATCAGGGTCTAGTCCAGGGATTAGAGTTCAGACCTGGGGTCAGGGTTTAGCTCAGGCAGGGATGAGGGTTCAGTCCTGGGGTCAGAACTTAGCCCTGGGTTGCACTCATCAGCTACATCATAAAGGCAGGAAATCTATGGGAAGTTTCCACCATCTCTCCCAGTGTTGCTTCTACAGCAACTGCTGTTTGCCCCCAGCTTGACCTGAAGACTCTCCGGCTGCTCTTACCTATGTGTGGGCCCTTGGAAATGTAGCTGACCCTCTCTGGGAGTGTTCTCTCTCACACTGAGGCCAGAGATGGAATTGGCACCCAGGCAGGTGGATACTAAGCCTGCATTCTTCTCCAAACAACCCCAGAAACTGCTTATGCATGTTCTCTGGACAAGTGCAGTGGATATTTAAAACATGCCGGGTAGTTACATATTAAGTACTCAGGCTGAAGTCAAGTAGTAGAAATTTCAGGTCATGTCCAAACTCTGACAGCCTGGGTGTTTGCTTCTGGGTTAGGAAGGCTGCACGCCAATTAGTTCTAAAAACCTGGGGGACGATGTCGGGGTGCGCTCCAGCCGCAAGTCTCTTCTCACACTACCCGTGGACACCCCAATCCCCCAACTGTCTAGTGCTTCTCCGTTTGGCAACATGTCCGCCCCCACCCCTGAACTCTGAACACTCCCCTGTCAGTTTTGGACAGAGGCCGAAGGGAGGAGCTCTGCTTCAAATGCCTGTGTGGTTATTTTCTGCCACAAGACAGAGATGTAGTCCTGGATCCATGGGCACAAGTCTTGTTGTTTCCATTTAATTTATTTTCTGTCCTGACTCTGCTTCTTGTCAAGCAGGAGAGAAAATGACAGGAAGACTTTTGCCCCTGGGACTACTTTAACCTTAAAAGTATGGCAACCATCTGAGGTAGTAGCCTCTCCAATGTTCAGGTGCAGGAGGTTGAGGCCTTCCCACAGATCTGCCTCTGTTGTTTTTGTGGAAAGTTACCATTATGCAAGTTAGAAGCAGTTGCTTTTTCCTGCTGTTCCAAAAATAGGGCGACCACGACCTTCGGCTCATAAACTCGGCCAAGGCAACAGTTGCATACACATTTGGGATGCCTGCCCAGTTCCGACCTGGCAATGCCTGGGCACCTCTTCCTCCCTGCTCCACAGTATCTCCTTTGCCAGACCTTGCTCTCTAGATGCAAGATTAACATGTGACCCGAGGCTAGCCAATCACAGAGCCCCAGCTCTGACTGTAGAGATGGGTGCAGAGGTTAGCTCCCAAGGAACAGAATGGGCCAATCTGAGTCATCTCTGACAGACTACCCCACTTTGTTGACAAAGTTGGTCAGAGGACAGGAGCACCCCCACCGCCAGCTGAGTCCCTCACTTCACCCTCCTCAGCAGCAGAAGCCACCTCCTCTGAGGTGGGTGGGGCTTCATTCTGGTCACTTAAATATTCATCTCTCCTCTCTCCTCCTCTCTTCGTCGTGAGAACAGGCTAGGAGAGGCTTTAGGTTCTTGGTTCCAGGCTTGAGATGCTAGCTTCACTGCACCCTTCTGGTTGGTGGCAAACACTTCCCTTTGAAAGTATAACCTTTGCCTGGCGGTGGTGGAGCACACCTTTAATTCCAGAACTCCAGAAGCAGAAGCAGGCAGATTTCTGTGAGTTTGGAGGCCATCCTGGTCTACAGAATGAGCTCCAGGACAGCTAGTGCAACACAGAGAAATACTGTTTTGAATAAACAAAATAAATAAACGGGCGAGGACCTGAGTTCCATTCCCAGAACCCATATAAAAGCTTAGTGTAGCCGGGCGTTGGTGGCGCACGCCTTTAATCCCAGCACTCGGGAAGCAGAGGCAGGCGGATCTCTGTGAATTCGAGGCTGGGCTGGACTGACAGCCTCCAAAACAATACAGAGAAACCCTGTCTTGTAAAACAAAAACAAAACAAAACAAAAAAAAGCTTAGTGTAGCAGCCATGTGCTTGAATTCCCAGCAATCATGGGTCGTGGGTCCCTGAAGTTCACTGGCCTATTTAAAGAAGAAGGAGGAAGAGGAGGAAGGGAAGGAGGAGGAGGAAAATGAGGGGGAAGAAGAAAAGAAGAAGGAGAAGGAGAAGAAGGTAAATCCATCATAGCTGAAGGAAGTGTGCGTGTGTGTGTGTGTGTGTGTGTGTGTGTGTGTGTACATATGTGTGTGCACTCGTGTGCTGGTGATGGAACCCAGAGTCTTACAATGCAAGGAAAGTACTGGGTTACTGAGTCAAGATTGTAGATCTTATATTGTGACTTTACAAAGTCAGGGACCCCCCAGGAGCAGACAGACAGAAAGTCACTGAAAAACCTGCTTGTGGCTTGGTATCCCCTACCTGCTTCCCTTGATCCCTTAAATAATGAGTGGACTATGAACAGCCACAAGAGGGAGAAAACATTGCTTCTTAATGACACTGGTGCCTCTTTTTGTGTTCTGCATGGTGATTATTGTCATTGTCAACTGCAAGTCAGAATTTCCACACCATGCCATAGGGTCAGGCTGTTTGTTGACAAGTGTTGATACAGGATCTACCTATACAGCCCAGGTTGGCCTTGAACTCCTCATAGATGGGGAAAACAGGCATGTGGAACACTTTATCTCTGGCCTGTAAGCCCTAGAACCTGCCTCCTCAGAAGGGGACGTTCAGAAGACACCTCTGTAGTGAGAAATCTACATGTGTCTGTTTAAGGGGTATCAAGGATTTACTAAAATATGAAAAACTCACTAATCCAGGATATGGTGAATCCAGTTGCAGAGTTCTTGGAGAGCTGGGAATTGATGACTTCATGCTGCCTGACCTGGTCTTCACCACCCAAGAGAACAAGAGCCCCTCTGTGGGAACACCAGACCTTGAGCAGAGACCCACTTCCCCTTCTGCCTGGGAGTAGGCAGCTGTAAGACAATGTTTACTAAAAACATGTTTACTAAAAACAATACAATTCCCGGGGGCAATAAGTTCCTGGAAAAGGCCTGCCCACAGAAACCGCCCTGACCTCGACCTTGTCTAAAGACTAACCGCCTCTTCTGACACGCCCAGATCAGTTTTTGGTGTCAGAGCAGAACCAGCCAGGGTAGAGGAGAGAGCAGAAGCTTTTCTGGAGGGAGCCTTTCTTAGGAAGTTTTCTTGAACCTTTTTGAATTTAAAGTTTTCTTTATATCCTTGAACGAGTCTCTGTGTTGTCAATCCCCAACACCCTCCACATGTTCTCGGACACAGGCCGCGCAGCAGATGCGACACCCCTCCCCCTGTCTTTTTAAGAGGTCAGGCCAATGAGAAGCTTAAGGTCATGGGCAGAGTGAATACCCACTACACTTCCTCTTTTTGTCTGAATAAGAAGGCTATAAACCTAATACAAAACTATGTACAATAAGAACGATTATCAGCCGGACATTGATGGCGCACGCCTTTAATCCCAGCACTCAACAAGCAGAGGCAGGGGGATCTCTGTGAGTTCCAGCCTGGTCTACAGAGCGAGTTCCAGGATAGGCTCCAAAGCAATACAGAGAAACCCTGTCTCGTACCGCCCCCCCCAAAAAAGAACAATTATCAAGTATTGTCCAGGAGGAAAAAGAAAGGGCAATAACATAAACAAAAATGTCAAGTAAACCACCAACAAGAACATCAAGTAAAAAACACATACTAAGTGCATAGATCATAGGCAAACAGCAAATTATAGAGATTACTCCAATAACTGTCCTACCCTGAAGACTGAATCTAGTACCTGATATGCTCTTAGTTAAGATATGAGAGAATAGTAACTGTGACTATCTGGTCTTCAGTCCCATCAAAGACCTGCCTGAGAAGGAAATAGTATTACCTGAGTAAGTAGGACGTGTAAGCAAACAACTTCCAAATGATGCAAGAAATGGCAGAAATAGCTGACTACCAGCTAGACTAGTTATACAGTTTTCCTTGTTAACAAATTCAGAAAAGGAACTTACATAAAGAGATGCAAAGTGCATAGGCTGAGAGACACAAAAGCTTAAACACA